AGAGACGGTTGTTGAGATCTAACCAACTGAGCTACAGAGAGACAGTTGTTGAGATCTAACCAACTGAGTTACAGAGAGACAGTTGTCAAGCTCTAACCAACTGAGCTACAGAGAGACAGTTGTCAAGCTCTAACCAACTGAGCTACAGAGAGACAGTTGTCGAGCTCTAACCAACTGAGCTACAGAGAGACAGTTGTTGAGCTCTAACTAACTGAGCTACAGAGAGACAGTTGTCGAGCTCTAACCAACTGAGCTACAGAGAGACAGTTGTCGAGCTCTAACCAACTGAGCTACAGAGAGACAGTTGTCGAGATCTAACCAACTGAGCTACAGAGAGACAGTTGTCGAGATCTAACCAACTGAGCTACAGAGAGACAGTTGTCAAGCTCTAACCAACTGAGCTACAGAGAGACAGTTGTCTAGCTCTAACCAACTGAGTTACAGAGAGACAGTTGTCGAGCTCTAACCAACTGAGCTACAGAGAGACAGTTGTCGAGTTCTAACCAACTGAGCTACAGAGAGACAGTTGTCGAGCTCTAACCAACTGAGCTACAGAGAGACAGCTGTCAAGCTCTAACCAACTGAGCTACAGAGAGACAGCTGTCGAGCTCTAACCAACTGAACTACAGAGAGACAGTTGTCGAGCTCTAACCAACTGAGCTACAGAGAGACAGTTGTCGAGCTCTAACCAACTGATCTACAGAGAGACAGTTGTCGAGTTCTAACCAACTGAGCTACAGAGAGACAGTTGTCGAGCTCTAACCAACTGAGTTACAGAGCGACAGTTGTGGAGCTCTTAACCAACTGAGCTACAGAGAGACAGTTGTCGAGCTCTAACCAACTGAGCTACAGCGAGACAGTTGTCGAGCTCTAACCAACTGAGCTACGGAGAGACAGTTGTCGAGCTCTAACCAACTGAGCTACAGAGAGACAGTTGTCGGGCTCTAACCAACTGACAACTGAGCTACAGAGAGACAGTTGTCGGGCTCTAACCAACTGAGCTACAGAGAGACAGTTGTCGAGCTCTAACCAACTGAGCTAGAGAGAGACAGTTGTTGAGCTCTAACCAACTGCGCTACAGAGAGACAGTTGTTGGGCTCTAACCAACTGAGCCACAGTGAGACAGTTGTCTAGGGCGGTGGGTGGAGGGCAGACCCAGCTCACCTTTCTTGCTTCTAAACTAAGTTGACAGCATTCCAAAGTGTAAACAATCGCCTGACGCATGCCGGGATATATTACTTCTTCCCATAATTTGCCTTGACCTCTTTGCCTTTGGAAGAAAAACAATTCGTCTCTACTAAGTAAATATAGTAGTATATACATATTTATAAATGTACATACAGGCAGCATAAACTCTTATTTCCGAAATATAAATTGAATATTAAAAGTGGCCCATTGACATTGTCGTGAGAGAAAGGTTAGTTCGCTGACCTCAGAATGACATTTCGTCAAAACTTTTTTGTTCAAGATTGGTTTAGAAACAAACTTGTAGTAGGGTATATATTGCATGTAAATTCAAGTGCTATATATCAAAATCTAAGTTAGTCCTTTCTGAATGCAATGATCTTTATTTCATTGCGATAGCTTTTATAGCTTTTACGTTACATGAAATCAAACAGTGTCCAGGTTTTTTTTGGGACACCCGGTATAAAGATTTTGTAGTTGATCCGCCCCCTGATTTTTCATGATATCTTGTCTGGTCAATAGAAGTTTTATTTTTTGACGTTTTGAACAGACGTACAGAAATATACCAACAAAAACAACAATTTTCATTCATTGAATAACCAGCCCCTGTTTACCTGAGGTAGTCTCTGAAGTCGTCACTACTCCACATATTGTTCTCAGGCAATCGTTCATCACGGACGCCATTTTGATAATGTTTTTGTATCGAGTTGTTTGCTAAGTGAATACATCTGTAACAAAAAGAAACTTTCGTTGTCACAATAGACCGGGCTGTGGTTAGCCTCCTGCGCAGACGTTGTTAGTGGCCCGAGGCCTCACCTAACGTCTGCTCACATTCGCTATGCATTTGACTTCCCAGCAATTGACCAATCACAATTATCTACACGATAATTGGAAGATCGACCTTCAATGACCTTCACATGGAAAACCCAACACACGGCAAGATAAATGGAAGGCCATTATCAACAAATCTGCAATATTTTTAAAGTTGAAAGTTAATTTGGGCAAAGTCTCCTACAATGTTTTTATTTTTCACCTTTGAAGGATACTTTACAGAGATAGTAACCCTGCTCTCATCAGTTTTTTTGTTCACTGGCGCTTTCTTAGGCGTGGACATAAATATCGGGCACAAATCAATATTGCTCGTTAAGGCTTGTGACGCTTGTCCTGGTTGAACGGTGGCGGTGGGAATAAAAGGCTGTGTGACAATCAAAGTAACGTCTTTCTGTTCAATGCCACTTGCACTGTCCGAGTCCAGTAAGGGATCATCTTGTTCATCAAATTTTAGAGACTTTCTTGTTATCTCTGTGACTTCGAAACTAGTGTCATGCAATCTTCGCTTTGGCTCGTTATTCTGTGTCAGTTCCCTTCCATTAAATGAATTTCGAAAGTACTTATTCAACTCACTTACGGACTTGTTAGCTTCGTCCAGACGCTTTAATTTATTTACACAGTTACGACACAAGAATGAAGTCGGCCCACATTTGTCACTGTAAATGTCTAAGTCGATTTTCGCAGTTTCGCGAAGGATACCCACGAAATCGTGAGTTTTGCTTTTACCAAACAGTCTCGTACGTTTATTTTTATCTATTTCTTCACCCTTGCATGTGAAGCAACTATTTACAATACTTTTTTCCTTTGTTTCAGTGTTCATATTATATGTACATCACGCAGTTGTAATTTGTAATACAAAAATAGTGTAAATTGCTACAATAGGAAATTGACAGCTTGCTGGGTTTTCCCGTATGACATTTGACATGTTGTGGGCGGGATAATTACATTGTTTACATAAAATTCTATTGGCTGTTCTAAACAATGGGAAGTCAAATGGATAGCGAATGTGAGCAGACGTTAGGTGAGGCCTCGGGCCACTAACAACGTCTGCGCAGGAGGCTAGGCTGTGGTGGACTTTACTACCACCTGAAGCCGGAGAAATCGGGATGGGTATTTTCAAGTAGGTACAGACCTGGGTGTTTCGAAACGTGATGGTAAACGGGGGGAGTCGGGTGCGTTTAGCCGTAGGGGGGTAAAATGTTGGAATTTCTGCATATAATTAATGAACTGAATTTTATTATTTAATGAACTGAAATTTGTGATATGTTATTACCACAACCTTCATTACATATAAATTAGTTTAGAAATAAAGTTTCCATTGCCTGCGGAAGTTATACATGTGTTGCTAAACAAGGTATGAAACATTTTGGATTTATTTGATCGGGGGGAGGGGTTGTGGAGTAACCTTATTTTAATCCTTGCCTAGAAAAAAGACTGGTTAACTCATTTCCCATGTTGAACTATTTCAGTATTATATGCTTAAATGCTGAATTGGATAAGGCTTCAAAAATTAAATTGAATTAACCGGAAACATCCGGAATCCTGACTTCCTCTTTTCCACGTGCATTGTACATGTTGCATGCTGGAATGTAAAGTCTGTAAAGACTGTTAATCAAGCTTGAAATGTTTTGACGAATTCTCAATGAAAGGCGTGTATATAGTGTGCTATCTCTTATGCTTGTTTATGATTTTTGAGACTATGTCAGAGCGACTTGGTAAGCTTATTAATTGTTTTGATATTTATATTTAGACGTGGGACTAGCATGTGCCATATATGCATTGACATTACTGGATATTAATCAATAGACTATACGCTTAAATTCAATTTATTTGTATGCAAAGTTTATCTTTTGCCTAGTAATGGTATTCAAATGCAGTTTGAAATTTTAACTGAGATTCATTGCTACTTTGTCTTTTCGATTTCATATGATAATTATACATAAACATTTGCGAAAGTCTAAATTTAGGCATGTGCTAAGTTTGTAATATTTGTAAAACAATAACTTAAAGGCAATGCTAATTTGGAATTGAAAGAATTCATAAGTGACTCACCTGCAGATATACAATATTGCTGAAAATTAAAGTCAGCTTTTCTAAAAATTATTAATGTGAGTGAGATAATTTGAATCAATTTTTGCAGATGTGACAGACTTAAAGTGTGTGGTTCATTATGATACTGATGACGGAAAATACAGTAACATAAAACAGTTGTCAGAAGTTAACTTGGAACGAATTCAGCAAGCGAAAACTCTACGAGAATCAAAGGGTGGCTCTAACCATCACAAAAAAACAGTGCGATTCTGTCCCAGAGCTAAATCAGTTCAATCCGTCGTTACACGGCGTTCATCTAGAACCGTGCTATAAAAAGTTTGTTCTGATACTTTCTCAAGAAAAAAGGAAACATTCCGAAAGCTCTCCCGATTCACAACCAAATGTAACGCGCTTAAAGCGTGGTGAATCCAGCTCTGATTGCTCTGGTAACCTTTAT